CAGATATCGAAACGGATATCGAAACGTCAGGCAAATAAACATATTGTCCCAGCGATCGAGTCTTCTTCTTCTCAGTTGCTTCCTGGGACACGGATGTTCGCTTGTATTGGCAAGTTAAGTTACCCTCCGAAGATACACTAAGATATTTTATGTATGGTTTATTTTCAGCTATTCTACAGTGTAAGAATACACAGAATGTCAATTTTCTGGAGTAAGAGATTTTGCATATTGTGTGATAATTTTTCGGTGCCTTTGCCTTAACCAACGTAAGCAGTCCCGCAATGGGGAGATAATTCTCTGTGTCTCCATTGTGGAAATGCATGGATGGAAAAAAATTGCCCGACCGTCTTCTTGAGTTCACACCAGTGGAAAATAAATACTGAAGTGGCCCGGTGATAGAGCATTTAATGAGAAAGCTTAAAGAGAATCATTTTAAATTGATAGAACACAGGTCAATCTTAAGCCTACCTTGTGAACCTCCGTTTCCTTCGGTGAGTGCATTACGAATACGATTAAAACCATCTGCTTTTAATAATTAATTTGATCTTCGTGTGATAAACTCGGCGGCTGCGGTGGGATACGAACTCACACCAGCAAGGGGAAAGCTTTGGCACAGCGAACTCAGCTACGAGGTTTCCACCCGGAGCCGTGAGTTTAATCACACCTGGGTCCGAATTCCGTCGGAAGGTCGAGCTCCTACATCCTTAGAAGGGAGGGGAGGCAGTTGAGACACTCCCCTACTTCTGAAAATGTGTCCCGACACCCTTCTCTCGACTAAGCTATGCCCTCTTCCCTCTTAGGATAAATAATCATTCAGATCGCGTTTCTTGTATGTAAACAAACAGTCGTGGTTTAGGGGGCACCGTTCAGTGTAAAAGGCGCTGGAACGCGTGTGCACACTTTCTACACGTGGATTCTGGACTTAGGGGCAGGGATGGGGGGGAGGGGGAGGGTACCAGCGTGACGGTTTCGGCTGCTGTTTACTGTTTATGCGAGAGTTGAAGTGACAGGACAAAGTACTGTTGAGACTAGCTCATCGACATGAGGAGAGGGGAATGGACAGGGAGAATACCAGTTGAGTGCTCCTCCCCCCCCCTAAGCCGTAGGTCATCATCCTTTATTTCATCGTCCCCCCGTGACCGCCACACGTCCCACAAGTCAACACGTGACCCGGATTAATCCGCGAGCGTCAAACGCACTGACAGCAAATCGGTGAAGAGTAAAGTCACGAGAATTTGGTGAAAACCTGTGGCAAACCTGGAGAACAGCCTAAAACGTTTCCCAAGAGGCAGGGATACAAACGGT